CAAAGCAGGTGCACAGAACTAATGCTGGAGGAGCAAGTCGCCTGAGCATCATTCCTGAGCCGCCGCCTCCTGAGCACTTCCTGGTTGGTCTAAACCAGAGCTTCCTAACTCAGAGTATGCACATGAGCTGGGGTAGGAAAGCCTACATCTTTATTTTCACTAACCTTGAACTGTAATTTAGCCTTCCCTTCAGTTAGGAACATACAGTAGTCTTAGCAGTACCTATTTTTTGTTACCAATGGAAATCACACTTATTTTCATGTCCTATTAAAATTACTGCAGATATCTCAAAATATCAATTACATTCATCCATCAGACTTCAAATGTACAGTAGTTATTAGTCCCGCCCATAGATGATATTAATGCATGAATAAGGAGCGCATATATTCCTCTAGCACAAAGGTTTTTCATTAACGACCTCAATGTTATCAATATAATTGGTTTCCTTTGTAATCCTGTTTTTTATTTTGTACATTGAAAAACATTATTCAGAGCAGGGTCCATAGACTACAGCACACTCCCAAAGACATGCACAGCACAAAAAGGATATGCACTCTGTACATGGGAACTTGCTGTCTGCTGGACCATGTGTTATATGTACCTGCTTATTATTCTGACTTGCTTGGCCTGAGTTTGTCTTTTTAACTTTGGTTGGTGTCATTTGGAACTTCTTTTAAAAATAAAATAGGAATATTTTCCTATCCAACATCATCAGACTCCTATCTGTAAGTTCCTGTCTTCTGAAAGACAAATAAATAAATAAATAAATAAATAAATAAATAAACATTAAAAAAAAAAAGAATCTGGCAGTCTGGTTTCAGATTCTGAACTCTTAAGAGAAAATGGGCATACGTGAGACTGAAGGGCAAATGTCTGCCCTCTGCGCGGCTGTCACGGGCAAAAGGAGAGGCACGCCATGCAGATGCCGCATCCTCTGCCTCCGCACCAGGCGAGGAAGTGTGTTTTGGCAAAGTCAGAACCCTGGAAAGAAGTGGGACTGTGCAGGATATCATGTGGAAGAAGCTGGCCATCTGTCAGCGTGAGATATAGAAGGATTCCTTTTGCCCAGGACCTGGATGATAGCACCCCTGAACCCTCCTCCCTATGTATGTAAAATACATGCTGCATGATAGTGCTCTCGAACGGGAGAGTTAGTAAGAGTGCTTGCTTTTTAATTTGTGCTTTTCAATTTACCTAAAATGATGATCCTTTTTTAAAAACATTTTTTTTAAGTGTTTATTTGTTTTTGAGAGAGAGAGACAGACAGACAGAGCATGAGTGGGGGAGGAGCAGAGAGAGAGGGAGACACAGAATCGAAGCAGGCTCCAGTCTCTGAGCTGTCAGGACAGAACTCACGAACCTGAGATCATGATTTGAGCCAAAGTCGGTCGCTTAACTGACTGAGCCACCCAGGCACCCTGCAATGATCCACTTCTATACTTTAAAAAAACCCATCATTAATATTTTTAAAGACCCCAAAACCTTCCTTTACACCCAGGAGGATTCTAGGTCTCAGACGTATCTTATCAATGTGTTATTGGTTGTCTGGTGACTTGTAATTTTTAGACTTTTACTTTGTGCAGCATTATCTTTGCCCCAGAACCTGAGGGATGTGACAGAACTTAGAGATTTCCACTGGTTTCCAGCAACGTAGGACTCAGTCTGCCTTGTCTAGAAGCATCCAGCAAGAAGCCTGCTCCGGAAGCCGATGACTTCTATTTGGGGTTATAAACCATTCAGTCGGGGCTCTAAGAAACACATTTAAAAAGGAGGAGACTCTTGCTTGCAATCACTTCCTTGGTGGCTGCATTTGACCCATCAAGGGAATCAGAGAGTAATGCCTTTACCTCCATACATGAACAATTCAGTTGAATTGAAGAGGGCGTCACGGGGTCCATGAACAACCTCTTTCCTTGTGTGCATCAGCCGGGGGCACAACAGAGAACATCCCTATGCCTTTCTCTAGCCTTTTTGGCTTGGAGAAATCTCAGTCTGCCTTCCTACCCTGTAATACTTACAGTCATCCCTATCTATCATCTCTATCTATCTATCTATCATCTATCTAACTAATCTATCATCTATCCATCATCTAGCTATAGAGTATTTCTATGTGCTACTTTTAGGTGCCATGTATGTGACCTCATTTAACCTTCACAACAACCCTACATCTCATTTTATATCATTATCCTCATAATGATAGCCCACATCATTATTATTCTCATTTTAACAATTATGAAACTAGGGACACAGAGGTTGAGTAACTTGCCCAAAATCACATCACTTAAAGGTGTCAGAGCCAGGATTTGAACCTGACTGTGTGGGGTCAACTCCTACACGTAGTACTTTTCACTTGAAGGTTTATTATTGCCTCATTGTCTTTCCTTTAGCTCTTGTGAGCTGTGACTTGGAAAGTTTACTCTTCTTGAAATACCTTTTCATATGTGGACACCACTCTAATTGGACACAAGCTGCTCAAGGGCTTGAGTTGGCCTCACCCCTCTGTGGAGCTATCAGCCCTCAGGAGACCCCCTTTCTGGGCCGCAGTCTCCACCTCTGTAAGTTGGTGATGATGACACTTTGGGGTATTGCAAGGACCAAATAAAGCAATGTATGTGAAATCTGGCTACCCACAGCCCTCAGCATGGTGGCCCATCTATAGTAGGTGCTCGGTTCCATCAAATATTTATGCTCAAGGATCTGGGGATACACAGAAGACACAAAGTCCCTGTGCTCATGAGCTTTACACTCTAATGGGGAGGAGAGAAAAAAATAAATGTCTAGCAAATTGTTAAATATGTCAAGTGGTGATCTGTGCGATGGTAAAACAACAGATGGTAAGGGAATAGCAATAGAAAAGCCATTCCTGTAGGTCGTATGGCCAGACCCAGGTCAGTCAGGGCCACGTGAGCAGAAACCTGAAGGACATAAGAGAGTGAACCTTCAGATCATGATCTCATGGTCTTGTGAGTTCGAGCCCCACGTGGGCTCTGTGCTGACAGCATGGAATGTGCTTGAGATCCTCCCTCTTTCTCTGCTCTTCCCCTGCTCGCACTCTCTCTCTCAAAATAAATAAATGAACTTAAAAATAAAAAAAATAGAGAGAGATAGTGAGCCTTGTCCATACAAAGGAAGAACACTCCTGACAGAAGGAGCAACAGGTACGAAGGCCCTGAGGTGTGAGTAAGCCTTAGTGGGCTCAGGGACTATCAAGGAGGCTACAGCAGCTGAAGATTCATTTGTAGGAGGATTAGGTAAAATCACTTAGAAAGACCAAAAAAACTTGGAAAATTCATGTCCACTCCACTATACCATCATCATCACCAAATCTCTGTAATCAAGTTTAAAACCTAATTATAAGAATAAAGAAGCCAAAGTAAATCACCAAAGTTCCATGGGTGCCTTAGCTGACATGATACCAAACATGCAGAAGAAAAGAGCAGTATTCTATTTTATCCAAATGACACCAAGTATGGGGACATTCAGTAACATCTGCTGACAGAGAACTATTTATTTCTATCCAGATGTCTATGTCTGGGTGGATAATGATATGGCATTGAAATGAAGGTATGGGAAGTTCAGGACCAGTAAAAGAAAAAGAATTATCCAGTCCTGAAGACAAGTGACCCAATCTGACAGAGATTAAACAATAATTCCGCTCTTCTTCGTTGTGATCAAGAGTTCTTTCTAAGATAGTGAGAGGTCCAGGGTAGTACAAACAAAACAATTCTCCAAAGTAGGCATTGTCCACATTATAGGAGGAAGGAAACGAAAGATTCTGAGTGCTATTTTGCAAGACTGCACAGTCTTGATTGGAGCCTAGTCACTGATGTTTGCCAACCATTCTTCTCTCTGCGTGGACCACTCTCCTCAAACCCCCAGCCAAGCAAAGCCAAGAAGGTGTAATGAATTCCCCCAAGAGAGATCAAAAGTTCGCCTCCACTGTGGTAGGGGATGGGTTGGCAGAGGTTACTCAGTGGGTGAAAACAAAAGCTCAAATAAAAACTTGCACGTGAATGTTCACAGCAGCACCATTCCAAACAGCCAGAGGGTGGAAAACCTCCAAAAATCTATTAGCCGATGAATTTGGGAAAACACAATATGGTATATCCATACAGTGGAATATTATTCAGCCATAAAAAAGAATCCAGTACCAACTATACACCATGTTTGGAACATTAAGCTGAGTGAGAAAAACCAGCCACAAGAGACCACACGTAGGGGTCCCGTCCTATACATTTTAACATTTTGCCTCACAGCCCAAGATGCTGTTCCAATGTAGTGGTTTTGCAGACCCACAAATGACTTGGGACTATCCCTTGGCAGTGTCTCCATTGCCATCGAAAGCCCCGATCTTCTACAACATCGTTGTTCCAACAACAACAAAAACAAGGTGGCAGTGAGAAATCATTTTCAAGGTAGAGTCATATTAAAGTCCTATTCAGATGGAAAAAATATAAAATAACTTCCTGAGCCCAGATCCCACCATGATAGACTAAATTAGAGAGGAGAAGGGAGGGAGGGACTTCAGATTATCTCTTATCTCAGATATATATATATACACACACACATATATACATGTATATATATATGGGGTTTTTTCTTAATCAAAAGGGATCATATTTTTATTTTGGATTTCACTATCACAACTAGCAACACACTTCCTAATTTTTTTTGTTCTATGCATACTTGGAAGTTAAACGTACCTAATTTGGTTTGTGCAGAGACAAATGGAAACTCCCAGATTAACCTTCCTCTACGGCATCTTACTCTGATCAGCTTTAAGTTGACAGGGAATTTGCAGTTTGTCTAAAGTTTCCTTCTGCTTAGGACGCTAAGAGGCCACAACAGTGGTGGAGAGCAGATCAGTGTTTCCATAAATCTGGGTTTTTTCTTTATAAAGCTCACTCTGGGGCCATCTGGAAGGCTGCATTTTAAGGAACTGACTCCAGCTCAGGGGAACACAGGCAGGTTTCCCAGAGGCTGAAAGGGCCCCTGCTTACCGCTTCCATCAGGCCCTTCACCGTCGGGGATTTCAACATCAAAGCGTCGAACACGTCGTCCGTCTCCTTCCGCACGTACAAAAGCACTGAAAGAGAAACAGAGGTGAGGCAGTGACTCAGGAGCCCACACAGCTGCCGCCACTGCAGGCTGCTTCCTGTCACACATGTGCCAGAGGCTGACAGTATCTGTGAGGCCACAGACCCAGGACCCAGACGACCCCTACAAGGGTGACGGACGCACCTCCACAGACGACCAGCAGTGGGGGCCAAAGGGGCCCCTTGATGGGGTAAACTGACAACCAGGCTACACTTAAGGGGCGGTGACGCTGTCCCACACTGTTCACAGTGCAATTTCTCCAGGCAGGTCCACGATACATCTCCTTCTGTGACCTCTGTCTCCTGAGGTCATTCGACCTTATTCTTTTGATCATTCGACACATATTGTAAATACCCAGAGGCTGTGTGCTAGGCACTGAGGCTGCAGCCATGAATTAAGGCAGGTCTGCCCTTAAGGAATCTGTAGTCACTTAGGCAGGCGGGTGTTCCTTAAATAAGCAGACAGCCATGTGGGGTTGGACGTTGGACGTGCTCAGAGGGAAAAAGGCATGAGAGAGGGCTTACAGGGGCCTGAGCTTCGCCCGAGGTGGGGCGGTGGGGAGAGAGGACAGGGAGGGCAACTCCAGGCACACAAACCAGCAGGTGCAAAGGCCCGGGTGGGAGCCAGTGCCTGTCAGAGGCAAGCTGAGGACCCAGAGTATGATGGGCCTGACTTTGACCCCAGTTCAGCCTGCTGTGGGGCCCTGGTCACTTATCCTCTCCAAGCGCTGGTTTTCCCTGGAAAATGGGGATAATAATATCTACCTTGTGGAGTTGCTGTGAGGGTGATATGAACAGCACCCATGTGGGGCACTTAGCACTGAGCCAGACAGAGAGTGAGCACCATGCCTCCCCGGCGCATCTCCCGAGAAAGCCCCTGTCGTGGCTCTAATGCCCTCAGTGGAGGGGAATGCAGCTTTGGGTTCCTTTCTCTATAATGGGAACAGTCTCAATTTGCTGATGCACAGACTAGGAGAGATGGTCGGGACCCCAGGAACCATTAAGGAATAGAAGACACTCTGCCACCAGACCCTTCCCTATGGCACCTACTCTGGGGTGGGGCCCAGAAACACTGGAAACCTAATTCAGATGTGACCCTTCAGACCCCTGAGCTGACTGCGCTTTCTCTCTCCTTCTTCCAGTGATGTGGTTTCTGGCTATAGCTTCAAGGGGAAAGACAAAGGCCAAGACGGAAGCCCCATGCACCTGGCCAATCCAGAAAGAGTGTACAGTCAAGAAACCGTGCTGAGGGGCACCTGGGTGGCTCCGACCGATGGTTAAGCGTCCGATGCCATGTCAGCTCAGGTCATGGTCTCATGGTTCATGAGTTCAAGCCCCACGTCGAGTGCTCCCCCTAGCTGCCCCTCCCATGCACTCTCTCAAAATAAAGAAATAAACTTTAAAAAAGAAACCCTGCTGAACCTCAGGACATAGTCAGATACCAACGGAGCTACAGTCACCACCAACCTGAAAGAATGAAGTTGGAGCCAGAAAATGAAACCAGCTCTAACTCAAACTCCTGCCCTTCTCCCAGCCCCTCCCCAGTTCCCAAGGACGTCATGAAAGCCGCTTGCTTTATAAAGGCAGAGTCTACACGGATGCGCATGGGCTCTGCCTACATTTTCTTTCTGCAGACCGCAGATGTTCAGTTGGTGCATGGCAAAAAAGAAAAAAAAAAAAAAAGAACCCTGAAGTATTGCAAAGTTTCTTCTCTTTACCAAGTATAAAAATAAACTACCAATTAAATAAACAGATTGAGCGTGTCTCCAAAGATTTCAAAACTTAGGGAAGGAATACTTGATAGTTTCCATTTCAGCTAAAATCATCTGGTGACCTAACAGCACCGTAAGAGGACTCAGTGTTACTGGCACACTACAGCCCCCCGCCCCCCCGGATACAACTGGATGAGGGAAATTAAATTTTAAAATATGGTGGCTGTGACAGTGAACCTTCTATAACTTCTTCCTGCAGCACCCAACAGAAAAATGTCATTTCCAGCAGGCGGACCCTAAGGAAACCCCAAATGTATTCTATGACAATGAGTACTGCTTCCATCGGCTTTACAAATGCCTTCTTTTAAAATCATTGTCTTTGAAATAGCATGGGCTCATACTCTTGCCCCAAGTGTCACCGTAAGGGGTTAAAGGCAGGATGGCAGCATGTTGCCGAGCTGTGGGAGAAACAGGGCCGCATGCCACCACCCCCCTGCTGGGCATGCTGATAGTCATACAAGGCATGCTGGGCTCAGAGCACCCCCAACAGCCCACCCGGGGTGTCCGCTTCAGTCACTGTGCATCTGAGACAGGACACTCAAATCATCAACTCCACTAATGACAGCAGTAACGACCGTCTTGCATCCCAGACACTACAGAGAGGCAGCGGGCCACAGCGGCAGGCTCCCATAGAGCCACCCAGAGAAGGAGCTACCGAGGCAGAACGACAAAGAATGGCACTGGTGATAATTACGATCATTTTCTCTCCTGGAGAACTTCCAAGGAATACACAATAGCAACCATCACTGACCCTGATTCCTCCTGTTTATTGAAGACCAGCTCCGACTGGAAGCTCCAGGCGAGGGACTCAGTAACTCCACTGTCCTGTTTCCAAAGAAAAGCCACTCCCAGGACATTTTCTCTATCACTGGTGGGTTGCAGCGCCCTCATGTGTCTCTACATTTTAGAGGTTTCGAAGGCCACAGACATGCTTTTTGTCACAGCCCAATGAAATTCCCAGCGGCAATTTTTGTACTGACTTCACAATCTCAAAATAATCAGAAAAACACATCCATTGGACTAGCCAGCACGCACTAAATATGGCTGGAAGCTACAATTACTTTCGCCTGTGGGATTCTTGGTTTCCAGATAATTCTGCCTTCATTCTGAAGTATGCGATATGAAAGGCATGCAGGGATGGAGCTCAAAATGCACTTGAACTTTTGACGGTAAGCCTGTGAAAGGTCCTTTAAACAGTCCTTTAAAGGTTTAAATGTTGCTAAGGTAATTATCACCACACAGGTATTTATGCTCTTTCCATTTTGAAACACTAATGACTTATTCACAATGAAGAGACGGTAACTAGATCCAGACCTAAGAATAAAACTCACAGCTGTAATAGTGAACAGGGTGCTTTACTATGTGCTAGGCACCTGAGTTAAGTGTTTTACATACATTAAAGTCTATCAGTCCTCACCGCGACTCTATGGGCAGGAACTCCCGTTTTCCAAATGAGGATTTGAAGGAGCAAAGGCTCTCCCCAAGGTCATAACAACTCTGACGGGCTGGGGAAGGCTACAGAGGGGAGGCTCTTGGCTATTATGCAAATCCCGTTACAGCAAATAGAAAAAAAATAAAATGTCTCATTAATAGACACCTCGGGCCTGTGTAGATGGTGAACATATTTAACCTGGGCCTGACTCACTGAAATTCCAGTCCTGTGTGTCTAAGGCTCTGGAAGCTCTTGGTATTGGCTACAGCAGGACATGGGGGGAGGGGGGACGGCCATTTCCCACGCCGCCCTCTTGCTCTAAGGAAGGCCAGTGAGTCACGTAGAGCATCGACATGCTGAACAAGACATGGACGCACTCGCCCTTTGTTTCTTACTCTGTTGATGAAAGCGGAGTAAGATCCTTGACCGAGAGAAAGCGAGTAAGTTGTGAGGTCAGAAAAGAGGCTCATTTATTTGTACGAGATTAATCGTTTGCATCTACAGAATGATTCTTATGAGATGCTATTGTCACATACGCAGCACAAGTTTCTTTTTAACCTCGGATCTCACTGCTGCCTGAGTCAGTATACTCATTACATTTCTCCCAAGGCAAAGGGCAGAGATGGTGCCCAGAAAGAAATGTTTGCTTACGGTGCTTAAAAGGACAGGACCGAAATGAAGGAAAAGACCGTGGACTTTCCTGTGTCGACAAACAATCCCCAGGCCAGCCCTGAACCACAGGGCCTGGGCGGGGCTGCACAGTCGTCTCTGTGAAGAGCCCCCACCCTTTGAGATGGGAGGGTGGGTAACCTTGGCAATGCCAGTGGGGAGATACCTCGCTTCATCCCTTCTTCTTTCATCTGCTTAGAAGGTGCTGGACCAAACTCCTCTTCCATGGGCCTGAACATCCGTTTGACAAGGACGCTGCTGCTGGAAAAGATGGGCAGAAACTGTTAAGTAAAGCAGGCAGGGGGCCACAAGAAAGGTTCATGTGTGTGTCTGGTGCTATCTTTTTCTTTTGTTTACACTATCCTTAGTTTTCCGCAACTGGATCCACTCAGCAACCTCCCTCCTCCCCTACAGGTCCCAAGCCATCTCTGTCCGGGGCAGAACATACATACCCGTGTCTTTAGGGTATGGACCAAAGACCTACTCCTCACTGCTGAGGATGGATCCACCAAGATGAGCCCTCTGGGTTTTGGCCACTCCATCCTGCACCTAACTCCCTTCCTGCTCAAAAGATCGAGGCTGGGGTGAGGAGAGCAGGAGTGAGCCCTGGGGTCTTGGTGATCTCCAAGTTATCAACCCCTCCCATCTAGCTAGGGCCTGAGTGTCCTGCACTTTCTTGCCAGCCCCTGAGGGCACAGTGGGGACCTCTGGAGATGGGACAGGCTCACCCCAGCTGGCTGTCAGTTCTGAGGCTGCCCTGACTTCCTGCTCTTCTATGGCTCCATCTGGTTGGAGCAGATGGGACTGCAGGGACGGAAGCTCTCTCAAGACCCAGACCTTGGCTGCCCAGCCCTTTCTGCCCTTTCGGGAGGGGGATTTCAGTGCTCCCTGGATCCTGTATGGTGCTGGGTCCCCACATGTCCCCACCGGAGCCAGTGCTGGTGCTTCTGCATTTCCTCCCAAAGTTCCTGTCCATGCTGGTCTAAGGGAGGGGAGAGCTCTGTGAGAGGAATGGATATTAGAAGGACAGCTGTCACTGAAGAGAAGTCAGTGATGCTGAGTACTGTGGGCTGCAGGTGTTTGCCCTCCCAAATTCATATGCTGAAGCCCCACTCTCCAGTAAGATGATATTCAGGGGCGGGGCCTTGAAAGGTAATTAACATGAAGGTGGAGCCCCTATGATGGGATTAACATCTTAATAAGAAAGAACAGCCATGCGAAGACACAGCAAGAAGAGGGCCATCTGTAAGCCAGAAGAGGGTTCTCACCAGACACCAACCGTACAGGCACCTGATCTCAGACGTCTAACGTCTAGCCTCCAGAACACACTTCTGTTGTTTAAGCCACCCGGTTTATGGTATTTTGTTATAGCATCAATACCAAACTTCGAAGATAATACAAACCCCTGATTCAAAGGCAACTCCCCATTGGCATCGCTGTCATTAAAAAGCTATTTATTGGTTCTCAAGTCAAGCCGAGGGGGTACAAAGAGGCCAAGGCACAAAAGTATGGATAGCTCAGTAAGTATTTCTATTAACTCTAATAGTTTAAACTATTAAGCCAACAATGCTTTAGTTTATCATCTTATACTCTAGGTGTCCCCAAAAGGCCTATCAATTTTTAAAAATAACTTCCCATTTTATAAAATACTTTTCATCTTCTTGGTCAATTAGGTCTCATGAACCTGTGTGAGCCAGCCAGGGCAAGGGTTAATCTTATCCCTATTTTAAAACTCAGGTTCAGTGTGCATAAGTACAGGGAGATGCAGCTAACAAGTAAAACAGACTGTTTAGAGAATGCAGCTTGGAGGGACAACTGATAAAGGTACTCGGTAAGTCTGAGGTGATGATGAGCGAAGGTATGGGAAATTGATATGAAGAGTTGACGTTCTCTTTTTTTCCCTAGTAAGTCAAATGGTGAACACAACTAGAGGGAAAACTCAAACTCAAGTCCCATTTCACATTAGTAATAAACTGTTAAGGCACTGTTCCCTCTGCCTTCACCTCACTCCATTATCATAAAAGCAGGTCATGTTATTCCATTGTCTTGGAAATGGAGTGACCATGACCTTGGGAACAGAAGATTAAAAGTCGAACCACACAGCTCCAGTCTGGTGATATTTAATAACAGGTACACAGCCTGAAATATCACCAGACATGCTCTCCTGCTGTGTGAGGGCTCCTAAACCAGTGATTTTCTTTCTCTCACCAAGCAAGATCTATTTATGTTTCTCCAGTTCTGCTGACTTTTGATAGCACCCAATTCTGAACCACGACAAACTCTGCCATCAAAATAACATCTTGGATAAACCACATGTCTCTTGGGAGTTCAGAAAAATGATGTTTCACACTTTCAAATCAATACACCCAACAGGAGTCAATCTAGTTTGTGTGGTCTGGATTCAAATGTTTCATTTATTTTCAAAGGCAAGAAAAGAGGGCCAGGTATGACAGACCAACTTAATAGGCGAAAAGACACAAATTCCAGGTCTCCTCATGCCTTGTCCAATTATACTGTATTGTACCACTGAAGGACCAGAGAAACAGGAGAAGGTGCTTTCTCTGACATCAACCTCTATCTCACTGGCAAATGTGTGGCTAATGTGTGGAGTGACGCCAAGTCTAGCAGCACACGAAGCCATCGCCTTGTGGGGTCAATCTCAGGGAAAGAAAGTCTCTGAGGTACAAACAAAGAACTGCTATGTCTCATTAGAAAATATTTGGGAAGGGGTTCAGGTCTGAGGCCTGGGCCTCTGGCCATACCTGCCAAACTGCGATGCATTAGCCATTTGCCCCTAGTGAGGCGGCAGAGAAATAAAGTGCAGAAATGAGTTGCAGCCACCACAGAGACGTGGTTTGTCTATTTCACTGCTTCTGGTCTATATGTGCTAATGACCATGTCTGCCTCAAATCAAATGAGCTTCCTCCCCTCAGAAAATAAGAGGAGGCCCTCTTATGTTCAAGTCCTGACAATGTCTCCCACAGTAGGGAGTAGGATCTCAATTGACTTCAATAACAAATTACTCGTTGGGTAATCATCCCCAAAGGACTTTAGTCAATACTAGTTTGGGGTAGTGACAGAACTTGTTGGACAGAATTAGCCACACAAACAAACAAAACCCACACATAGATTTCATAATGATTGCTGTAGTTACGAGCTCAGAAATGCCAAGTAAGAAATAACTAGGTCAGTAGGCCCCAGAATGATTATTTGAAGAGGAAACACAGATGTTCCTGTTTCTGATAAGATGCTGTGGCTTGTGGCAAGCCAATGTTCTAGCCAAGGACAATATGAAACTGTATAAAATTTAAAAAACGAACAGAAGACCTCTTGAAGGTACTGGACACTGCTGGTGGGATAGCCAGCGCTTCAGGAGCAGAGATTTCAGGGAAGAAAACACAGAGAGGTGAGCTGGTGATCAGTGAGCCACTGTCCCCTCAGAGCATTTGCCAGTTCTCAACTGGGAGCAGAGGGTGATAATCTGAGCAGAGGCATAAACACAGGGACAAAGGCACATACATAATCTTATGTGGCAATCTTATGGAGTAAGAGAAACAGAAATCGGTATTTGGTGCTGCAGAGAGATCTAGGGCTTATGGGAAAATTTCCAGAGAATAAGGAAGCACAGAGAAGTGAGCCGGACAATGTAGTATTCCTTCCGAGGTATTTGCCAAGTCCCTAAACTGCATGGGACAAGAGACTAAGATATTAAGCAGAAAACTCTTGGAAATTATAGAGGATGTTTGGGTAGTCTCCCCATGCTAAAGAGGCAAAAATTGGATTTCACACCCCACCAAGAAGGAAGGCCCATAGAAAGTTCCTCAGAGCTACAGTCTAGGAGTTAGGATGAATTAGAGGTAGTCTGAGGCTAATACAAACTGCAATCCAGCTTAGGGTCAGTTCTGCTCTGACTTGGGTATAGTGATCTGCATTCACTCTGGCTGTACACCAGAGGGCAAGGAAAACTTTCACAAGAGAAAAACATGATCATCCAGATCTTCCATCATTTTTACATGTTCATCATCCAACAAATGCTTATCAAATATACTAATAAACAGGAGCAAGGGAAAAACAGACAACAGAAATAGGCCCACAAAAAACACACTTCTAGCATATTATTATCTGAGTTACCAGATTTGAGCTTTAAAATAAATGTGATTATTGTGTTTATGAAAATAAATGATAAAACATAGAGAGCTGGACTCTATTAAAATAAAGAAACCCGGGGCGCCTGGGTGGCTTAGTCGGTTAAGTGCCCGATTTTCGCTTGGGTCATGATCTCGCGGTTCGTGGGTTCGAGCCCCGCATCGGGCTCTGTGCTGACTGCCAGCTCGGAGCCTGGAGCCTGTTTCAGTCTGTGACTACCTCTCTCTCTGACCCTCCCCTGTTCACGCTGTCTTCCTCTCTCCTAGAAATAAATAAAAACATTTAAAAAAATTAAAAAATAAAATAAAATAAAATAAAGAAACCAATTGAGTGGAAATCCTAGAACTAAAAAGGACAATCAATAATTGAAATTAAGAACTCAATAGATGAATATAACAGAGTTGAAAGTTAGATCAATAGAAAATATGCAGGCTGATGCTTGGTGAGCAAAGAAGATGGATGTTTGAGAAAAGCACATAAAAAGCTTAGGGATACAAGAAAAAGTTCTAATACACATTTAAAATCTCAAAAGAGTGGAGAGAGGAAACACAAAAGAAGCTCTATTTGAAGAGAGAAAAGCCAACAATGTTCCCAAATTGATGAAAAACATCAACCCACAGATTCAAGAAGTGCTATAAAACACCAAGCAGGAAAAAAGTAAAGAAAACCTCCATGTAGGAACTTCTTAATGAAAATGCCAGAAACATTTTAAAGCAGCCTCCTCAAACAATAAGAAAGGGAAGGAAGGAAAAGGGGAAGGAAGAAGGAAGGAAGTGAGGAAGCAAGGAAGGAAGGAAGGGAAGGATGGACACCTACATGTGAAATAGCAACAATAAGACAGACAAGTAACTTCTGGGAACTAAAACTGAAAGAAAGTAACTGACAACCTGGAATTTGGTATCTAGCAAAACTATCCTCCAAAAGTGACTGTGAAAGAAAAGCACTTACAACAAACAAACAACGAACAAACAATATGAGAGAATTCTTTGCCAAAAGCTCAACCACAACAAAAATATTAAACAGAATTCTTCAGGCACCAGGCAAAAAAACCCCAAGGCAAAACAGAGAAATCGAGGAAGAACTGAAGAGCAGTGGAAAGGGTAAATATAGGTTAA